TGTGTGTGTGTGTGTGTGTGGGCGTGTGTGTGTGTGTCGAGGTGTGCTAGCGGCCCCTGCTGGCCGGGCTTTGCATGGCTTGCTGTCAGGTCTGTGATACACCTGCTGCGCCAGCTGCAGCGTCAGCGCCCAAGGCTGTAATCATGCCCATTCCTTTGGAGGCAAACGCGCGTGCATGTGCACACATGCACACACACACACACACACACACACACACACACACACACACACGCACACGCACATACGTACAACACAAGCGCACTCTTACACCAGGCAGCAGCCAGCGCTTCACATTGCTTCCCACATCTTGATGTGACCCCACATCACGCGCCCCCACTCTATCCTTCATGATCCCTCGCAGGCCATGAGCATGGCATTACCCGTGATCGCCACGAATTGGTGCGCGCGGGTGGTGCAGGCCCAGCACCTGCATTGAGCGCAATCAGCGGTCATCAAACAACCCTTGCGCTGCGCTTGTTGCAGAGTCAAGGGCTCTGCCCATCCAAACTGCAATCAGCTCGACATGACAAAAGAAGCAGCCTTCACTTACCCCAGCCAAGCCAGGCTGAGCGCTGCCGCGCCCGGTCAAAACCGGTCAACCCCGGTCAAACCCGGTCAACACCCCCAAAACATCCGCCGACCACTCTGCACCCCTTGCATTCAAAAGGTCCGGCGTCACTGCTTTCCTGGACGAGGAGGTGGGGTACCCCATATCAGTCGACTCCCTGGTCCCCGCAGCCGGGGAGCCCTGGATGCGCGGCCTGCAATGGGCGCAGCCGAGCGTGCCGCACCTCCGCCGCCTGATGCGCCGCGTCTACGAGCGCCGCGCCGAGGCCGCCGAACGCGGCGCCGCCGCGCGCGCGCGGATGGTCGCGCAGTACTCGCCGGCCGCGATCGCGCGCGTCGTGCTCGCCGAGATCGCGCGGATCGAGAAGCTTCTGCCGGCTTTGGAAGCGGAAGAGGAACGATTGATGGCCGTTGAGCTTCACAAGCTGTCGCCGGAGATCAGGGCGGTGGAGGAGCACCGAGTGGCACAGGCGAGCGAGCGGCGCAAGAAGCGCGCCGAGAAGGACGCAGCTGCGGCGGCGGCCGCGGCGGCAGCAGGGCCAGCGGGGGACGGGGCAGGGGAGGCGGCCGCGCGGCTGGAGGGGGCGG